CTCGCAGCTACCTGTCAGCCCCTCACCTTTGCGATTTTTTTTTCTGCCACGCAGATGTAAAAGAAGAGTAAAAATTCCTGTCCCCACTCTGCTGTCACACGTTCTCCTTACTGCAAGCTTGGAACCTTTTACTTCCAACCAGGTATCTGCACCTCTTGCCACCACCATTTTATCTCCCACCTACATCTCGTGATGAAGTTCCCTTGCATATTCCAACCTTCCCACTATGTAAACCTCTCCCCACCAAATCAGGACCCCAGCCCTCTTCCTTTCATCACATCCCATTCCACCAATCCTGATGATAACTGACTCTCCATGTTCAGAGGAGAATCCTGCTGCTGGCTACACTCTTCTATTATGGCAGCAGCAGAGCAAGTGCAAAAACGAGGAGAGTCTGCAGTTCGATCCTGCTGGTCAGTGGACACGTGTAACTGCTTGTTTGGAGGTTGCTGTGCACGTGACTGCACGTTAGGCTGTTGTAATTGTCCAGGAAAGCTCTGCTATTTTGAAGAGGTTTGAGGATCACTGTCCTGCAAGACCTGCTGGCTCACAGCGTGCTCATGAGCTTGGCCACGGCAGGACAGCGGCAGTAATGTGGCTGCTTTTGTGCGTCTCGGAGCGAGTTATCTGACGCCTGTGCTGGGGCTGCGTCCTGTGACTGACAGGACAGTGCTGATGTGCGGGCTGGTCCCCAGCTGTGCTGCTGCCTTTGAGGGGACCTGAGCCCTCAGGACTGTGAGGCCAGTATTTGTCAGCACGGCACCCCTGTGACCACCCAAGGAGAGGTCAGTGCTGGGAGTCAGGGCTGTATCCTCCCTGTGAACGACTGCAGGAGCTCCTGCCAGCTGTGCAGTACACTCTGTGCCCATCCCCATCGTCCGGATGGCCGGTTGAGTGTATGGCTGTAGGAGCTGAGTTTAGGAGAGACCACAGCTGGCACAGGAAGAGTTGCTGGGTGCCACGTCCCAGACTGAGTTCTCTGGAAGAGTTGTGATCCAATTGTGGTGACCCCATGATTGCACTGGATTTATTTTTCTGTCCAGCGTTCCATGGTGGTGGTTATTGTCAGTGAGTGCTTCAGCAGCGTGCCAAGCTAACGGTGCAGAACTGTACAAGGGGGGAGGGGAGATTGTTCTCAGTCCTGGCTGGCAGTTGCCCTACATGAGACTGGATAACTCTGTACAGAGTGGCCTCCAAGCATCAAACTTTTTAAATTTAACTATATTTATCTAACCTTTTTCCTGCAGCCACCCACTCTACAGGTAGTTACTATCCTGCTGCAGTGAACTCCTCAAACTGACCAGTACCCTGGGGAACCAAGACTTCATAATTAGCTTTTTTGGCTTTTCCTTTCTCCTGCCCCTAATATAGGCACTGATTTTTGGCAAGTCTTATATTTGTCTGGCTTTTTTATCATCTCAACCTTGAGATAAAAAGTTGTATCACTTTTAGTTTATTTATTAAAACTTTGCGATGATACATTTTAAACATAATTGTATTTATCCATGGTCATGTTAACACTCCTTTCCTTTATGGGCTTTTGGATTAATGGCTGTGGTATGAATTATATTTGTTTGTGAATTAACATGAAATTTTATGCTCTAAAGCCAGTGAGAATTGGAGGTTCCGCCACATATAGATGCAATATGAGCAACTAAAATGATCCTTTTTATGAAAAGCTTCCAATCTAAAGAAACACTTAATGGTGAAATTCTAATGTAACAGTGCTAATTAAAAATAATAGAAGAACATTTATTCTGTCACTTGTTAGCCTCCTAAATCTTTGCAAAAGGCTTGAGAAAGTTAGCTTCAAAAGGGCCATAGAGGAAAACTCCCATTTTCACATGGGTTTCAGATGTGTTCTTGGGAGCAGTGTAGTTTTCAGAGCGTATTGTGGCTGGTGTGATATCATTTATGTTCTATTTTGAAATAGTAATCTGAATATAAATTAGGGCTCAGATAGCTGCCAAATCCAGTATACAGAGATACATGATATATTTTCTTCTCAGGGTGAATTGCTTCAGTTATGTTATTCTGAGTTATTGTTGAACCCTGTGCCCGCATGTTTAGTAAATGTTTGTGGTGTATATAAAACTGATTCTGATTTCATTGACATGGTTGTTAATTCATTAACTTCAGTGGAGTTGTTCCTGATTTATCTTGGCAGGAGTGAGGACAGAATCAGGCCTTAAATCTTCAAATTAAAAAATTAAACTATAAAAATATTGTGAAATAAAATCTCGCCAACATGTTCCCATTAAATAGTATTTCATATGAGACTAAAATAATAATAAAAAAATTCCTGGTTAATAGAAAAGCAGAAATAAAATACCTATTAAAAATGAAAGAAAAAAACCCCCTAACTTTTCAGTCTACAGAGAAGTAACAGAACTTGATTTAAATAAGTACTATTTTGAATGTCTACTCTTGTAACAGTGACAAGTTATCAAGCACAAACATTTTATTTTTGCATGGCTATCACATTTAAAATGAAGCCAGATTGACTACTCTCAGTTGACATTTATCAAGAATTCTTGTAAACTCCACTTGTATTAGCAGATTATTTTTTTTTAAAGTAAACATATAGTTGAAATATATGTATTACTGCTTTATTTGAGTTTAAAAATCTGATTATTCCACTGTACATAGATAATATGAATTCATTAAAGATTAGTTAGTTGAATAGTTTTTTTATAACGATCTAAATGATTTAAAAAGTTGTGGAAGTTAGCATCTCTAATACTGAACTTATAAAGGAGCAGAAAGAATAAGCTAATACAGTAAAATAATTAGACATTGACATTTTCACGTGGTTCTACGAAAACCGCATGTAAATGTCTGTCTGTAGTAACACTTGCAGTGACCTGGGAGGTGGCGATATGGAAGTTTATGGTCTCTGTAAGACACATCTCCTTTTATTTTTTTAGTGATGTATGGCTTGCTTACGTGTACCTTTTTTTTTTTTTCCTTCCCCTAGCTGACTCCTGTGGCTTTAGGAAGTTATTAGTAAAGTCTTACTTGCACACATCTCCCTGATTGCGATGGCTTTGCCCTAGTGTTAGTCAGGAGTTGGCTGGATGATCTGCATGTGAGTGAGAAGGTAATTAGTCATGGCCAAACTGTTAACAGCGAAGTAAACTTTACTCTCTGGGGACTGTTTTGTCAGAAAACAAGTTATCTTAGGTTACCTTCTGAAATCTGATTGATTTAGCATTATTTACTAATTCATATCAATTAGTCTCTCCGTGGAAAAAAGTGGTTCATTGTAATTGTGACAATTTTTCTCAAAAGGCCACTTTCTATAGCCCATTTTACACAAACAGGTGCCAGAAGAGCTTTGTGTGAAAATTAGAGTATCTACAATCAGAAATCCTGGTTTATATGGTTATAATTTGGAATTGCCATAATGGAAAAAGGAGTTGTGAACACATGTGTCTGAATGGAATTGTTCCACAGTTAACAGGAGATTTATGGCTGAAGAAATCACTACAGAACAGCAAGTGGTAGAGATTGTGTTTTTATTTTAATGTGAGAGCCAAGTCTTGCATTAGGACGTTGCTGAATCTAGTGCAGAAAATAAACGACACCCAAGGGGTAGCATGGCAGTCTGTTAGATTGAAGGGCCTTTAATAATCCCATAGTCTAATAGCAGTTAAGATAGAGAATGTATAAGAACTAATCTCCTGCTTTTACAATAATGTGTGTACGGGAACAAGAAACAGTTATGGCGTGTTGGCACCGTAGCTTTTAGCAGATGACTTTTTAAATTAACAGATAAGTTTGCTGAGTGACTTTCTGGAATTTATTTAATGAAAGCTCATAAAATACGATATCTGTTTACAGCTGGATTAACAGCACTGTGCTCAACTACTAGTCTTCACGCTAGACAAAAAGTACTGAACAAATCCAAAACCTTTCATTCCTGGAAAGTTCAAATTTATTTTGGAAAAGCATAAATTTAACTTCTGCATCTGTCTTTCTTTAATCATGATTAACAGTTTCTGGTTTTGCAGATTCCTTGTGGTCTTGACTTGCAAACTATAGACTGCAAGTCAAATGTGTGCAAAGAAATATTGCAGCAGTCCTGCTTGTTAAGTTTTTTTCAAGTTTGGCTTCCTCTGAATAACAGCACACAATAGCAATTCTATTAGTATTGGACTTTCTTCTCCCCTCTTTCTCTCGGAAAAGTCAATGTATAGATTAACTTCAATTACCTGTTTCTCTGCCTAGATGATGTTTGGGGATGGGGTTAATTTTTGATTGAGTTATAACTACTGTATTTGTATTCTGTAGTTAGTGTATCTGTTTGGGGTGTGCGGGGTGAGAGTGAATCGTTCCTGAAATAACTTCCTTTTTGGAAGCAGTAGTGGTAAGTTTACACAGGACTTGCTAAACAGCAAGTGTGTTTTAGTTTGTGCTGTGACTCTCTAAACAAACAGTTCATGGTACTTGTAAGCAACTTTGGTGTGTAAATGTACACTAGATGGCAGTTTTGTCATATCTTCCAAGTTCAAATAGCTCTGTAGGAGAACAGGAAAGGCCATCAGTGTTTAGTCTGCACTCGCAGGGTCCCTGCATGACCAGTGTGGACCCCATGGACTTCCTGGAACATGTGTTAGCAATTTAGCAGCAGACATTTATTTCTTTGTTTTACTGCTTGGCTCTTTGAGAAAGTGTTGGTACTCAGTTATGGGCTGTCTGGATCATGTCAGAGGCCATGGGGATCAAGTCCATGTGACAGGCCAGACTGAGGAAGGATGAAGTTGGAGGAGGTGAGGAAACTGACCCTTACTTCAACAGTAACAAGTCACTGCCTGTCTGTGGACTGTGGCCAAATGCCGGGGCGTTTTAGGTCTAATACAGCTGAATAAACAAAACACTTTACCCATTTGGCTTTTTCATATTTCATCAACACTAGTTCTGTCAAAGTCTTTTCTATTTCCTAAGAAGTGATTCTTATTCTTCTTTCCTCCCCACCCCCTTCTTCTCTCCCCTTTTAGCCCCATCCAGACGAGGTGACCTTGAAATCCTCGGCTACTGCATGGTGCAGTGGTTATGTGGGAAGCTGCCCTGGGAACAGAACCTGAAGGACCCTGTAGCTGTCCAGACTGCGAAAACAAAGTAAAAATAAAACAACACACACATGTGCACACACATGCCACCCTGGAACCCTGCAACATCCTCATCACTTAAGAAAGGATGTCTGAAAAAGCCAGCTTTACATCCTGGAGAATAACACCTTACGAGAAAGCGAAAAAATTGTCACTAATTAAGAGATGTTAGAAGCAGTTAAAAATGTGAACTCTATGTGCATATATACCCTCTTCCACATGTTTATGTACTGCTGTAGAGATATGATAAATTCAAATGCACAGTACATAACTGTTTTGTCTGCTGGGTGTTTTTAGTACTCTCTTTTAAAGAAGAAAACATTTGTGAATCAGTGAAGGCCTTACTGCACATGCGGAAAGTTGTTGTGTGTTTCTGTTAAACGTCACGGGTGCTTTGTAGAGACTATAGTGCAAACATCTCTTGGAAGTTTTTCCACATGTGCATTCAATTTATTTAACTTTCTATATGATACTATTTTTCAGATGTTTTTATGTACGCTTTTAATGTTATATAAGCCTACTGATGTTACAAACAATTAAATACCAAAATACTAAAGAATTTGATTAAAATCTTTCCTTTGTCCCAGCATGACTCATTTAGAGCTTACTCAAGCAACAGTGTATTAGTGTTTTTTTTTTTTTTTCTCTGCTTTCACAGTTGGAACTTGAGAGAGTTAATTGCATGTGGTACAGTGTAGCCTGTAGAAGGTTAGACAGAGGAGTAGTTACCCATAAATGTAACGGCACAATTGGAGAAGGCAGCAAACTTTTAAGTAGGGCAAGTCACAACAGAGGTACACAATAGGGATAGCTGATCCACAGAAATCAATCTGCAAATTCAGTGTGGCATCGGCTCTCAGCAGAGAAAAAGGTTAGCCTGCAGACTGTGGATAATACAGATTGCATCTGTAAATGTTGACATCCTATGTTATGTTTAATATTTCTCCTTTAGAAGTTCTGATCATTACACAACCCCCTGCAAGGTAACACTTATACAATTCAATGTTAAATCAATTTAATCAATCAAGCTGCTTCACTAATTCTTCCCTTTGCAGTTAACCCTTATATTGCTAGCATTTCCAGCATGCCAAGCAGATACTTCGAGGAAACACACAGAAAACGATGCAGATTCCATTTACCTGAAATATCCTATTAGTCTAATGAATTATGTTCTTGCTATGAGGTAACTTGCCCAGGTCGTCCCCCTTTAGTTATCTTAATTTTCAGTGCCTATACTGTTTTCAAAGGCCAGAAATAGATATCTAGATATATGTGCATATCCAGTTGCTTATAAGTTAACAAGTGCGTTACCAGCACAGTTGAATCACTTTGGAGCATGCCAGAGTCCTTTGCTGCAGAGTCTGCGTGATGGTGAGGAAGAAGAGGCTGGGCCTGCGAAGTGGTGCGTGGTTGAAAGGCAAGAGCCAGAACAGGACCTCAAATTCTTGTTTACCAGGTGTCTCATCCTCTCCTCCCTTCACTACAAGTTCTTAGTCTGTCCTCCCAGTAACGCTGGGGCAATGAGGCAACTGTGCCAAAGCCTTGGGCAGTGGTGAGCGGATATTTAGGGACTGCTGGTGTGTTTGAGTTTAGAAATGTTCACGCCATGCCATAATCGGATGGAAGAGAGGCTTGCTTTGAATTAGAATTTAAGCTAGATTACAGGAAAATATTTATGTTTAAATGTTTCATTTCCCCAAAATTGAACCCCCTATTTCTGATACTAAGCAACAAATTACTGAATTGAAGGTTACTAGCCTATATACCCCAACTTTATGCATTTGAGAACACTTTCTGTTACTGATTGGTGGACCTTTATGGCTCCTTTAAACAAACAAACAAAAAGGGATCCCTTAAAAGTGTTAGCAGCTAGACTGAACAGATTTCACTTACTTGGGGCAAGGGGGCTTGTGCAGCTGCAGGTTCCTGCAGGTGCTTGGAGATCATTGCGGTTCATGCCCGCACAAAGATGAGAGCTGGTGTTACTTCATCTGTTTTTAGGATATGATTGATTCTGAGCTCCAGTGTCCTTTGCTATTTGTTTCTGGATGGACAGAAAGTACATCTGTGGCCCTGCCCTTCAGTTTATGAAGTGCACAGGACTTAAGGTCGTTTAATCTCCCTCTCCCCTTTTGGCCCAGCCGTGCCTGCTTCTACTTTTGACAGGCATCACCCAGCTGCCCCTGAGCTACATGGCAGAAAGAACCTCATGCCAAATGACTAGTAGGCAGACCAGGACTGCTTCTTAAATTCCAAAATGCAAATACAAATCAAAACAGCATTTCAGCTCAAAGCATTTTTCTTTTTCTTTCTAGAAAGCTTAAAACATCTGCAAAGAAAAACTTAATGTTACAGTGCTCTCTTAGCTGTAAGCTGGATCTTGCTGAAATCAGCAGTCTCCAAAGAGTTAAAAAATATAGCTGATAAGAGGAGATTTTGTTTTAAAAGAAGTACTGTGAATCATTAGCTATCCCGGAGGTCCCCTCCCTTTGGAATTGAGACTTGCTGTCTTCCTAAATCCCAAATGAAAAATCACCTGCTCCAAAACCACATTAAATTGTTGCACTCTCATGTTGTTTCAGACTTATGGATGAGCTCCCAGATTCACTGATGGAATGGGATTCTTCTGGAAGCAGCTGTATGTACCATATAGCTCTTTAGTCTGTTACAAAAAATACTTAACTGTCTTAGTCTATCTGGGGGAAGCGATATAAAAGTAAAAGTAATACAAACTTAACAAAGCCTTCAATTTAATATCTTAAATGTAATTGGTAACTTTGCACTTTAAGGCAGATGCCTTCAGCAGGCCTGAGTCCGTGCAGTATTACCAGGCTCTGGCCTTCAGGCAAAATATAGGGTGCAAGCAGAAGTCATCCTAATGGGACCCCTTGAAATCAAGCCTGCGTGAACCACTCTTATACCTACCTATCCAACAGGAGAATTCAGCCTGCAGGATCTGTATTTAGCTGATAACACAGTAGTTATTATATATTTATATATATATATAACTTATTGTTAGAATATATGTCACGCTCACTAATTCAGGGTGCAATTTAATCGAACTAATATTTCTGACTTTAGTGGAACTGAATCAGGCCCTTTGTGCACAAGCTTATTATATTTTAAGCATTTTTAGCACAAAGGCTTGTTTACTGCAAGGGGAGAAGGTAAATTTCTGGATGCTGTCAGATGCTGGTCACTCTGCAATAAATGATTCCCGATGCTTACTGATACAGGATACTCGGGATGCTTAATGCTTTTATTGCAGGAACTCCCTTTTTCCTGCTGCTTTCCTGCATTGTTTCGTAAACAAATACAAAGTAGATCATATAGACACTGAAGGCTAAATTTTCAACCTCAGTGTGTGATGGTACAGAAATCTTGATCAGTCCCATGTGTGTTTTGTGCCATAGAGGGACTTAAAGGATCTTAGCCATGTGTAATCCAGGGTGTTAGGAAGCAGTGACTATCTTAGAAACAGAGGTAGCTGTTAGTATGGAAATAGTAAGCAACTGTCTACAAAAGGTTTATTGCTTAGAATTCAGAGTTTGAAAAAGCAAATGAATGGATGGTTTGCCTTGTTGTATGTTTCTTCCTTCACTGAAGGAAACTCCCTCAAAGGTCAGTATCTATTTTTGATTTATTCACTTATTTTCATAACATTTCTGTATTTGAATCACTGGAATGCATCATATATTACATATAATATATTCATGGTATGTATACATATTTAGTAAATCTTTACTTCTGGGATTTTACCAGATGCTGATATCTGGTGTCATACTCCAGTTATAGGATACACTTGGGTCTTCAACTGAAAGAAAAGTTTGATCCCCTCCCCATATGTTTTTCCTAGTAGCATTATTTCTGCCCATTCAATGGTTTCCCTGTTTCTAGAACCACAAAATAATGCTGCTGTTAGACTGTTTTAGGATCTCAAAAACAGAATCTGTCCAAGTACTAGAAGTAAAAAAGAAAAAGTTGCTTTTTTTCCAAAGCATTCGAAGTATAATATCTATACAGGTTGTTAAAATAGTGTTGTTGAGAGTAGTTAGTGTTTAAAGGGGTATTATGTTCTATCAAATATTAAAAAATATATATTTTACACAGAACTATCAGTGTTTGTCAACAGAGTATTTTGATTAATTTTGATACTTAGATAGCTTTTGGTACTATACAAATTAGTGCATGTGCATAATGAGACATAGCACTTAAAGAGTTAGCTTGTTTATCCAGGTCTGTCTTTTCCCTTTCTTGTTTTGAAAAGACAAGATATTGTCAGTTCTGTGTTTTGAGTGTGTCTTCAGCTGAACTGGCATCATCTTGTTTGGCAATGTAGGATTGGCATCCATTTTGGAATTAAATTCTTTTTGAAGTTCTAGGTCTACACCAAGTGAAATTTACATTAAAATATGCTCCACAGGTGAAATATCCAAGTTTTTGGCATGTGTTTATGGCTTAGCTTATGATGAAAAGCCAAAGTATCAAGTGCTCAAGAAAATCCTGCTGGACAGACTAGAGTCAAGTGGAACTCGCTACGATGGCCCTCTGGAATTTTCTGCTGCAGCATGCACGCAGAATCACTGTGCTGGGAAAGTGTCAAAAGTAAGTAAGACTGTTCTGGGATTATTTCTGACATCTCCTGCCTGCTCGTTGCCTTTTCTCTTGCAGAAGAGGAAATAGTTTAAGATCTCAAAATGAGACTGACACAGCAGTTCTTTTGCCTTAAATACACCATGTTTGTTAATTCCTGTTTCCACTGGCTTTGCTAAAAAGTGGGATGTCAACCCTTAAGGAGGAAGAACTGTCATGAGTCCTTTTGACCTACAGCCTCTCACTTCAAAGCGGTAGGTCTGAGGAGAATGATTTACTTTCAGGATAATAGGGAAGTCAAGGACTTTGTTCACTAACATCTTGAAGACAAGCCTGAATGCCAGGTTTTTCCTTCGTTCCAGATTAAAAGCAAAGTTACCTTTATTAGAGAAAGCATTTAATTCGTTTTCTCACTTTCAAACTGTTCTTTGTCATTTGCCTTTATACTCCTGTAGCCACTAATGTGGAAAAGGTATTATTCTGGGATTTAACTGTGTTATTGGTATGCAGTGCTATGTGATGCACTAACACAGAATTTTAAAACTGACAGCTATTGTGTTATATTTTCCTTTTGTACTTTCAAGTCTGAAACTATACAGTTAATAAAACCATGTTTTAATAAGTGGAGATTGAGGTAATTAGCAGTCTTACTGGACTTGCTGTGAAATGTCAGTCCCATCATACCTCTGCCTCGAAACTCCCCGTATGCAAAAGCCCTGTTTCTGTCTCTGCTGCGTGTGCAATAAGGCAGGGTCAGGCTACCATTCATTTTTAATATTTCTAGTGAACTTTGGACCATCACAAGTGTACGTGAGCCAAGAATGCAGGATGCAAACTAATGTGACTGATAGGCTGCTGGATGAATGGTGATTCAAGTATCAGTGCACAGATGGTTCTGATTTGCTGAGTTTTGTAGCTGCTGCAACTGAAGACATAAAATATCCTTCTAGTCATAAATTAGCTCTTTGGAAGCAAAACCTTGG